AATATATGTTACGTTTTACTGTAGGTTGGTACAGACGTGAAAAACGAGCAATGAAGTTTTGTAGTGCCGAGAATTAGGAGGAAACCCAGTGATCATCACACCGACTGTTATTTTTGTATTGAAAATCCACTCAAAGGTAAAAATTCAAAGAAAACCTATTATCCTGATCTACATTATACCATCGACATCCGCTCCAATACCACATACAGAAAAAAATCCTGTACCTGCTCCGCCTGTGTTAGAAAATCAACTACTCTCTCAAGACAGCTATCAATCACAGTGTTCATCTATATCCAAACATTCCGATTTTTTTTAATCTGAACCAACATACCCCACCTCATCAACTCTGAAGATCTCAATGATTTAATAAGAGACCTAAATCTATCAAAAAGTGAAGCAGAGTTATTAGCATCGCGGTTGAAACAATGGAATTTACTTCATTCTGATGTTCGAATATCCCATCAAAGAAAACGTCACGCAGAATTTTCTTGTTTCTTCAGTAAGGAAGACTCTGTTTTTGTCATGACGTGAAAGGTTTATTTACAGAAATTGGTATTCCATGTCATACAACTGAATGACGTCTTTTTATTGACAGTTCAACAAAAAACCTGAAAGCTGTTCTACTACACAATGGGAACAAATTTCTATCTATTCCACTGCACACTCCGTACATCTCAAAGAAAATTATGACAATATTGAAATGCTATTACCTGCAATTAAATATACGGAATATGAGTGGATATACTAAATACTCCTGTTATCTTTGCCTGTGGGAAATGATGCCGTTCACTACCGCCAAAAAAATTGGCCTGTACGTACTGAGTACGAAGTGGGAAAATGCAATATTAAATGGGAAGCAATTGTCGATCCTAAAACTATATTAATGCCGCCATTGCATATAAAATGAGGACTTATTGAGCAATTTGTAAAGGCTCTGAATCATGAGTCTGAAGCTTCCAAATATTTAAAGAATTTTTTCCCGAAACTTTCAGAGGCGAAAATTAAAGCTGGAATGTTTATAGGCCATCAAATAAAAAAAAATGGATTGTGATATTTTCCCGCAATTACTAAGCAATGAGAAGAAACAAGCCTGGAACAGTTTTAAGGCAGTAGTTCATGTTTTTTTTGGAAACCATAGAGCTGAAAATTATGACGAGCTGATCACTGACATGATTATGAATTTTTCCGTCATCGGATGTAGAATGTCTCTAAATATACATATGTCATATGAACACTGAATTCTGCAAAAACAATTTTCGCTATTTAGTTTATATTCCAAACACTCGTTATATAGAATTGAATCAAATATCAGTCACAAACGAACTTTCACTAACATTTAACACTGTCATCCTCACAGTACGTAACACATTGAGTGGGCATACTTGGAAACTGGCTGTTTGTTAATCCCCAATTTCTTAGATATTCGTATACATGAGAAGACAATCTGCTCTATTTCAACTTTAGCCTGGATGATTAGTATGATGAAAAATTTGTCATAACAAATTGAACACTCATACAATTATGTATCAAATTCTCGCAATGTTCAATTCAGGCTCAGAAGGCATTTTGCTCACACTGTTGTGAGTCCTGAGTAAAACTTTTTCAAGCACCCAACATAAATGTGTATATTTCTCCAACTCACCTTTTGCTACTTGAGACTGAATATGTCCGGTCCAGTATTTCTTGTCCAATATTATAATTAACTTTCTTGGTTAAAGGATCTACTTGATTCACGAAATGACTCCGATGTCTCAAAAGATAATTGAGTAAATTCCCGTATCGGCAGTATTCAACAATAACCAGTAATTCCTCTGGAAAATGTTTGATGTTTTTTATATAAACTATGTCTGAATGAAAAATTATGAATGATTCTGTGAATTTTATCTATGATATTCACCTTTTATCACATTCTTCGTACAAGCACCAAGAAGATTAACAACATTCAAATGTTTTCCTAAATGCACCATTATTTTGAGTTCGGAGGCTAGAGCCTTGATATGAGTACGATCAGCATTTTTTTTAACCATCTTAACCGCTACAACGGTAACAGGTTCGCCCTCGATTATGTGTTTAGCTTCTCCTTTCATTACTACACCAAACGCTCCCGAACCAAGTTGTTTACCTGAAAGAGTAAGTGAAACATTTCATATAATCGAAACAAATAATGAAAACAAAACTGTAACTGTTATATACTATACCCAGATACTAATAATTAAACAAAATCTACATTTTTTTGCGGTGTTGATAACGGGGCCATCCTATCGTCGGTGGTGATTGTGATGGAATAGACGTTGACAGCCACAATCGGGACATGCTACGTGCCGTCTCGGGTAGGGACAGTGACATCGCGCACAAGAGGCGCTGTTTCTGGTTGTACCGAAACGTAAACGTTTGGTGGGATGTAGCGGTGGGTTGTCGCACAAACAGTCCCGGGACAGGACGTCCTTTAACCCACAGCGGGAACAGAAGAGTACCGGAACTCTTCGTGGACAATTACTCCGGTGGTGCCCTGGTAGGCCACATCGCCAATATAATTCCTTGTCTTCCGGTAGGTAGACCAACCACGGCTTGGGTGGCGCCAATTGGTTCTCCTTCGCAGCTTGTTGTAAATGTTCGGCCGTCCAGAATCTATCGTCAAACGGATTTTTCTCCAGATAATACACGAAATATGGGTGAGGGGGGACCCAGAGTCGGAACGTATGGGACACGAGGTTACAATATCGTGTGATCGGTCTTCCGACTGTTCTACCGTGAGTTTCGTCGTCATCGGGAGCGGAACTGCTGTTTTCGGGGATGTGGTGGATGATTCTGGCTGGTTATCGGACTCTTGCATCGCACCTAAGAGAACGGCTGCNACGTTAAAAAGGCTTTACGTTCAAATAAAAACATCCTGTGTGCTGAATTTTTCAAAACGAAGAAGGGTATTTTTTCAGATTATCTTCTTGAAAATGGTGCAGAAATTTACATTCGTATTCCTGTAGGATAGAAAGTGTGCAGTCGGGTCTCCTCCTCTTCTGTGAGAGTTAATGGCGGCCTTGTCTCGGTGACTCCAATAGGGAAACAAGGGACGGATCTAGTTTCCATAGCCACTTGGCGGTGATTCACAGAGATCTCACCACTTCCTAAATTCAGGCTGAACTGTCTCCTCCGGAGGATGTCCATTCCTATGACCATATCAGAGGAGAGTCCACATAAGTGTCCAAACGTTTCTTCAAAACGGTGGTTGTCAAACTGTATCTCTACTTGGTATGTTATCGGAACTATGACGGTTTCACCATTAGCCATTAGATAACATCGCCGGTAACAATCAGAGCTTCAATATTGTTACCAAGAACATTGACTCGAATTTGGGGGCGGTAGTCTTCGTGGTGGTTGGTGATGTCCTGGGAGCGGTTGTTTGCACGGGCCGGGACGACGGAGTCAGAGGCATTATGAGGGCTTTGCTGCACATGCCTCAGGTTGTTGCAGCACCCTAGCGGTTTTTCCGGCCGTAGGCATGGACAGTCACGAGACATTATTCCATCTCTCTTACATCTTGAGCAGAAAATTCTGGATGTTGCTTGACACTGGTTCCTAAAATGTCCAGTCTGCCCACATCGACAACACTCTTGGTATTTTCTCTCATGTCGGATCGAGAGCGGCGTAGTGGTGTTGGTCTGGCTCGTACTAGGACCACTCTCTCGGCTCGTAAGTGCTGGTACAGTTCCTCTAGTAGCAGGTCTGGAAGATGGCTGGTAGGTAGCGGTATACGAAAACGGTCTCGTCGGTGTCACTGGCTCCTACCTGGTGCGAGGGAATGATTCCACTCTAGAAGCATGCTCAATATCTGAGCGGAGTACTTCGTATTCTCTGGTGACCTAAACAAATTTTTTGACGTCGATGAAGTCGGTCCTACGGATCTGTTTTCGAAACTCTGGGTGCAGGTTTTCGTAGAGGCAGTTCAACTCCTGTTCTGGTGAAATTCCCCCGTGGCGGCGGATGAGGGTCTGCAGATCGGTCATGCACTGTGAGGACTGCAGTTGGTGCACCCTTCTGCTGATGGCCACTTCCAAGTCGATGAAGTAGTTGACGGGAAAGAAGAACTTCTGGAAGCCGGTGCAGAAGGCTTGCCAGTCAGGCCATCGTGATCGGTTATTTTAAAGCAGGCCTTCCTAGCAGCAGCTCGAGCATCGCTTGTAGAAGACGGTCTGGAGAGATGCACTGGGAAGCACGAATCTCTTCTAGCCTTTCGAGGAAGGTGGCGGGGTCTTGGCTTCCATCGAAAGATATCTGCCAGTCTTTGGTCCTCAAAGGCGGCAGCATGGAGCTGAGTGAAGCACTGGGCTGGGGCTGGTCAGACTGACTTCCCCCCTACGTCCCATGGAGAAGGCTTGGTAGGGTTTGTCCACCAGTACTTGTCACTGTGATGGCCGGGGGCGTGGCGGTAACGGTCGTGCCTGCAAACATGGTGGGAAATACGAAAGGTGTCATCGTAATCGGAGTAGGTGAAGCTCGGCCCTCTCGTATAAACTTGATCAGACGCCGATGTTTTCCGTCTACGGTTCCAGTGGTCGCGAGTCGGAACTTTGTCAGTTCGGCTTTGTCTGGAATCGGCCGGACTTCTTTCTCCTGGAAGATTCATGTCGGCGGTACTTCCTGTATTGCACTTGGAGAACGTATATCTTGTTTATTCCACAGTTCGGTACTCACTCGCTCTCTGGTCGGCTCATATCTTGGCTACGGTACTTCCAATCGATGAATAGGTGGTGGAAATCGCTTCTGCGTACTTGAGAACCTATTGAACGAGGTATCGCAGGGTCAGTTTGAAAATTTGTCAAAATGACAGTTTGGCGGTTTCGACGTATTTCGATGTATTTCGAGGTAATTCCACCTCTGGAAGCGTTTCCAATCGGTTTTGGTGATGTAACTTCCAGGATTTATTGTTTCTCCTTCTAATCGGTTTTCTCTCAACTTTCGGTGATCAACGGCCTCTGTATATCATAAAATCGGTCCCTGCTCGGGCGCCAAATTTGTAACGCTCTTTCCGCGTTACGGGTCATTTTGACGTCGAGTTCATGTTACGGGTTGCCTCGGGCGCCAGCTTTCGGCGTGGTGTGATCCACATGCTCCGGGCAGCGTCATTGAAGAAGGTAATATGAAAGGTAATATGGGTCTCTATGGTATTGAATAAATCAACTGTAGCCAGTACGGCAGACTTTAATTGCCGTCCTGGGTTTGAATCCTGGGTACCTGCTGTTTTTTGTCTACCAGTTTGCCTTTATTTATCTGGATTCGGACTCGAACGGAGCTGGAACTGAGACTTAAACTCAACTGAACTCCTGGACTCCCTTGGTAGAATGTCATCTTCATTTCTTTCAGGTTTGGAGACCAGCTCCTTTACCCTTTCGACTGATTGCTCCCTTGGTCGATAGTCATCTTCATTTTAATCAGGTTGGAAGCTCTTTCCGTACTCTTTCAACTGTCTCTCGTCAGGAGGACGAGTGCTCCATTGGTAGATGCTCTCGAGATTATTTGAAATAAAGTTCTACGGCGGTGTCCGGTGATAGGAGAGTTGTGCTCTCCATCGGTGATACGGTGTATTAACAAATAACGTATGATTTTCAAATCTCCTTGGCGACTCGGCATAGTACAGTTTCCTATCGCTATAGAGTGGCAATTCGCATTGGCGACCTGGTCAGGGCGTTCAATTTCATTCCTGACCATATTAAAGAAATAATGAACTTTAACAAGTTTAAAAATAGGGTTTAAAAAAATCTGTTTGAAATCTGTTTTTCCGTTAATCAGGTGTCGCCCCCATACGAACGACAACTCTCAGAAGTTGAAAAACTTGTGCGAGCTGAGGACTAACGAGGTCTTACCTTTTAACGTGTGATTCCTAACACGTTACACAGGTAGAACGATTCATTTACGAAACACTAAGATCCAAATGTAATGAGATCATCGAATCCAATTTCTTCAACTGATTCATTTCATAGATAGGTTATAATAATGGTTTCAACGCAGATACTATCCAGAATTTAGTCAGGAAACAAAGCCGGAAATTCACTTACAGATTAATATACCCTCAGGTCTAACAACCAGAAATCAAGAAATGGGTAACGCTACCATATTTTGGAAAAAGAACAGAGATAATTGCGGGTTTTTACAAAAAAAACCAATGTGGAAGTGGCATTCAGACCACATCCCAGGTTATCTCATTTCCTTTTCAATGCCAAAGATAAGGTGGACAAGTTGGAGAAATCTGGAGTTTATAAGCTTAAGTGTCCGGAGTGTAATAGTGTTTATGTGGGACAATATGGCAAGTTTCGGAATCTAAACAATACGGAAATTTTACACTCTGCAAGGAAGAGTTACAAAGTCGATTATTTAGAATCCTTGAAAATTCACAAGCATAAACATTGCGGGTGCAACCTGTTAAATGATGAAATGGATTTATTTTACTCGCCGGTTTTTAAATTGGCATATCCGCATTGTAATAAACACGGGTTTGATTTATATTTTCATAACTATTACTTGTTCCAAAATGTTTGTACTTTTAAAATGTTCTTATTGTGTTTGGTTTTTTTAAGTACTCTGTTATTCCCATATATATATTTTAAGCGTATTGCTTTTTCGTGGTGTTCTTGTATTGGACTTTCATCTCGAAACATGTGTTTGCTAACTTATTGAGTATGTATCATCTATTAAAAAAATACACAGATGCTTTTTCCCCTAATTTAAATTTTCTGCTTTTTTAGAGCTCATTACTATATGATATCGTTGAGCCATTTTTGGTCAATTTTTCTCTACGAATTCAAATTGAACCAAAGTGCTGCCGAAACAGCCCTAAAAATTAACCAGGCATTTGGAAATATCAAAAGCCGCGCCCCCTGTACTTCTTTCTACGTCCGTTCTACATTCGCCACTGTACTAACTACTGTTGAAATGGCTGGTAATGAAAACAGTTTTGAGTTCACATTATTCAATTATTCAACTGACATACTCGTAGTTTAGGACAAAGACAATGAAACAGTTAGATTATTAACCTCAGAGACACTTCCCCAGTTGCTTGAACTGAATTATATTTGGTCGAGACCCTTCTTATCATTTTAGTGGATAAAACCATCTGGTTGACATGCTATGCGTCCATTCATTTTATTATT